TTGGCCAGCTGCTAAAGCCCAAGTAGAGGGATTCAACAAAACCTTGGAGAAGACTATTCGAATTGCTACTGTAGAAGGAAGGAACTGGCGCTCGGAACTGTTTGTGTTCTTAATGAATTATCGAACCACTCCTCATTCTTCCACTGGGGTCTCACCCGCATCCTTGATGATGAATCGTCACATCGGAACCAAGACTACCTCTCTAAATCTCCCTCGCACTTCAAATCTTGTTCATATTGCCTGCCCCAATGACAATTTGAGAAAACCAAAGGCAAAGGCATACATGGATAAACGTCACAACGCCACCCCTTCTGACATTCGCCAGGGAGATCAGGTTTTGCTGCTTCAGAAAAGTCAAAACAAGCTAACCCTAGACCTTTTACTATCGTTCAAAAAAAGGGAGTCAGCGTCGAACTTGCAAGAGGACAGGCACGATTGTTTAGGAACCTGTCCATGGTCAAAAAAGTTATTCCCTCGTCGAGGCCGGGCACTGAACTCGTTAAAAGACTTGCTCAAGTAGGGAGCATTCCTAGTCGTCGGAGTGTTCATTAAGGAACGCGGAACATGTTGGCAGGCCTTTCCGAGAACGGCGTGTTCCCCAATATCTTAACGACTTTCTTTTGCGCTAGGACGTAACTTTCTGAAATGACTGTCTAAATAAGTTTCATTGTGAGCCTAGCTTGGTTTCTTACTACTACCGTCGTTTCCTGCTCTATATTTGCATTTATGCTTTCTTAGGAAAGGGGGGATATTGTATATACGCATTGCGCACCTGGAGTGAAGTGCGTAGGTCAATAGTACATGAGGAAGGAATACAGTTGCGTTTGCTTAACGTCCTGAGTTATTGATTCTGCTATAATACTATCTTAATGGGAAGTGCCTTAGCCTTATCCAAAAAAAAAAATTGCGTCGAAAAGTGGACCACTCCGCACTCTCCGGCCGGCGCGCTCACTGAAGCGGCATTCCTTTGAAACAAGTTTGCACCACGAGGCAAAGTCTTCAGTAATTTAGGAGGTGCATTCATAAGAAGCGAGCTCCCAAGAAGGTCATCCATGAACGGACTTTTCGGATTGTCGGGGAGCCTGATGAAATGCGGGAGTAACCATGCGATGGTTTTCTCTTAAAGAAGAGAAAACCAGGATTAAAAAAAACCGCTTAAATCAAGTGAAATCAGTAAAATAACGACACCAGGAGCAAGCAACACACGTATGGAATAAGGTAAGCCACTTTTATTTAATATTTTCACTTTTTAACTATCTCTATGGCTATCTTGTAGAAAATCCCATACAAATCCTTATAAATCGATATGCAAATTGTGTTCCTTGTGTGGTTCTCAAAGAGAGCTTGGGCTGCCTGTGCTGTAATCGGTTAGATTCTAGAAGTTTGCCTGTCATCGAAACCAAGGCCCGAAATGCTTGTTAGACCGAATGCCACGTTATTTACATTTCATAAGAACTATATAACCAAAAAAAACATACCTTCCATTTTAGCGTCGGATTAAAAAGAGCTGGATAACTTTAGATCGCGGGCTTT